CAACAGAAACTAAGACGTGCCACATATAATACATGTCAGGGGTGATCGTATATATATATATATATATACAAAATATGTCGGTGCTTTGTATTGTGCCGACTGGTTCAACCCGCCCAAGGGCTAAGTTTCATGTTTCGGACCCCATGTTTTCGCCTCCACTCCTCGCGACTCCCCGCGACTCGGCGCATCTTGCGGTCCGTGGCCCCCGCTGGAGACGTCCCTTGATCTGCTCGCAGGCGCTAAGGATGGCCATGCCTCAGGCAGAAGCCAAGGCGTCTCTCTCAGGATGGTGTCAAGTGTTGTTTCAGTGTCAAGTCGTGTGGTAACTGTTTGACCATGTCGAAACCAGAATTAAACTTCAACAGTTCCTTTTGGCTTCTCTTTGAAGGCAACCAGGTCCTGGTTATTTAAACACATTTTTGGTCAACCCTGTTTGGCACCGCCATAGGGGTTTCTGGACGGGTCATTTTGGCAACACCCATATAGAAACTAGGGGCAACCATGGCGACGAATAATGGTTCAGCTAGCCTTCCCCCGGTGTGTGTTGTAAACCTGCCCGTTCCTTCTTGTTTGGTGGTTCTCTTGATTAACCAGGTATGCAGTGTCAATGGATCCACCGGGCCGATGGGCCATAGATGTCGGAGGATGCGGAGGCGGCTGTGGGGGAGGCGTTGGGCACGGTGTCAGTCCCCGTCTCGCGGAGGTAGACATCCTGTCGGCTACGGCGGCGGGTTTGCTTCCGTTTGGTTTCCGTCAATAGAACAAAGCCTACAAAGGGTATCTGAAGGGACAATGATTCGTAGCATGGTTGCAGCTCACTTGCTCTGGTTGTAAATCCCAAGTGGGTTACAACCAAACCAGGGAGTACCACTTACCACTTGCCACACGCCAAAATGGAACCCCTGTGAGATTGCTATGTAGATGTCCCCTTTTGTGGTTAGTGTGGATGCAACAAAGGAGGCAGCAGCACCCTGGGCCAAAGAAGTCAAATGGTTCTCGGACAGCATGGCTTAGGGTGGTCAAGCCCCCCCTCTCATAGCGGCAAATAGCGACTAATAAGGCCTAGGGTTCCTTTTAGGCGCCTTTTTTGGGTCTTTTTTTCCTTCGGGGGGGGGGTTCAATGTGTGCTGTTCTGATACGGTACGTAACACGCTCATAGCACAAAACAGGAACTTCAAGTGCCCAACGGCAGACCCATATGGGCACGTACAAGCCGAACCGACCCGTACCAAGCAAACAATGCCTTTAACAACACACTGTCAGAATCAGTTTCAATTTTCATCCATCTAAAAGCATAACACAAACACAGATATCATCTATGTATATATATATGTATATATATATGTAACAAAGTTCCAGCTCTTCGGCTTTCGCCTGATGAAGAGACGCCTGGCAACAAGTTCTCTCACGGTGCTTGCCAACTCACAAAGTCAAACAACTTCTCCAAACAGTGGATCCCTTGTAGTTGGGTTTTCCTCACGAAAGGCCACGCATAGCCATATCCAGCCATTTTAGGAGAGCTATTCTAGGAAACCAATTCCTGCCTCCATGGAGATGCCAAATGCTCGCGCCTCGCGACAGGACACCCCAAGCTTTGGGTGTGGCTCGCTCGAGTTTTCTGGCAGGTGCCAACCACTTTTCGGGGGATCAAAGGGACTCGAGGCCAAAGGAATCCTCTTTGGGTGAAAAAGGGGAATGCATCACTTTTTGGGGCTAAAGGACTCCTTTTTGGGGAATCGGGATGAAGGAATTATCTCTGGGCTGGGTTAAAAAAGGGAGTCCAACAGGCCGGTGCGCATCTTGACAACCCGGCAGCTTACACGCAAAGCTCTTGGGCGCCCCGCTGCGATTTGGCAGATCTTGGTGTGGAGGCCCTGACCTAGAGCCGCTGGCTCTCAGATTCGAGGGGATTTGCGGGTTCGCTTGGCTGCCACAAGCCAGCTATCCCTGTGGTAACTTTTCTGACGCCTCTAGCTGAATATGTTTTGGGATTCTCGAAAGGAAACAAGGGCAGGTTGCTGAGGATGGACCAAATCCTGCACCACTTGGGGGTTCAACACTTTGCCTCACACTTCCGCGTTTTGGCAAACTCTACCTACCTGTCTTTTGCCTCGTGCGCACATGGCTCAACTTGCTGCTCCCTAGAAAAGCAAACAAGTTATAGGGACCAAATCGGGTGTAGACCAGCGAGGGTTCCCACTGTTGTAAACATGTTGATTGGAGTGGTTTCCGCAAAAGCTAAGCAAAAGGTTGAAGACCCAAAAGATCCAACCCAATAGCCAAGCTTGGCAAAGGAAAGCTGGGAGCCGGGCCCATCTCTGTTCCGCCGTGTGTCACCAACACCTCAGGTATCCGCGAACCCAGCTCTCTCTGCCTCTCTCTCTCTCTTTATTTCTTTCTTTCTTTCTTTCTTTCCTTCTTTCTTTTGTTTATCTGGAAGTGAATCTTAACCTTTGCCAGGCATTTCTTAGTGCCCCGGACTTGTGAGGTGCTTCTCTATTGAATTTCATAGCCATTCGGGGCGTCCTCTTCCTCCCTCTATATCTGTCCTGTTCTTTTTGTTCAAATCTCATTGCCTCGTCGTCAAACAGGACATGTCAGAGTTCGCAAGTTGCGTGCGAACAGCCCGCAACACAAACCTCAAGACCCACATTCCTTGGCCCATGAGGCACACCAAACTCATGTTATCTGAGTCTGTTTCAGTCTCAATCTAATTCGTCATGCACTTCTCTTGGCCCCAATCCGGAGTATATAATAGTTCTAGATGCTGTCTCATATTCAGTCTAGCCTATATACATATAGACATAGTTTGTTTTTCCATTCTTTGTTTGATTATCTCTATATATATAGTTTCCCTTTCCGGAGAAAACCATAGTTTCAGAATCTGTCTCATGTTTATTTAGTCTACCCTATATATAAATAGTTCTATGTTGTTTGATTATATATATATATATGTAAATATGTGTATATATATATACAACAACAAGCAGTTTTCGAGACAAAGACCCCCAAGTCGCGAACCCAACCAGCGCCGTTTGACCTCAAGTGCCCAGGCAGTGCCGTCGGTGTAGACATGCACCAGCGCCCCACCCTGGCTTCAGGGAACCACATTACCGGGGGAAAGGGGTGGGGTCCGGGACCCGCTTTTCTATTGATGCAAGGCCCTCCAGATTTGAGAGGTTAGAATAAGGGTACCCAACTTGCTTTCTTTGTTGTTTATCTTAGTAGGGAACCCTCCCCCAAAACAGTTGCTAAAAGAGCACTACTGGGGACCTAGTGTCTAGTCTTCCTCATGGGGCAAATGCGTCACCACAAATACTTCCATTCTTCCAGGGAACGTGGGTCGCCACAAATGGAGATCTCCAGGTGTTGAACTCCCCCTCCCCCAGTTCCTTTTTTGAAGCGCTTGGGATGTAACAAACATGAACAATTATATATCCCTCTTGTCCAATTGGCCATCCCCCGTCCCGGCGAAACAGTTCCATAACACTCATCCCACTCCGCTGGTTCTTTTTGGGGAAGGGTCAAGAAATTGTGGCTAGCACCTGGTTGCCAGGTTGTGGCTTGCACTTTTTCCCAGCGGGGCTGCCATGTTTTGGTTTCTCTGTTGAGCAAACAAGGAAACACTGTGCCAAAGAATTGAAAACCAATCCCGAACGACACATATCGTAGCCCCCTTTTCATGCTTAGCCTAAGCCTATGTCCGGCTGGGAGTGTTCATGTGCGGTGACAGCTCTGGGTGTATCCAAGAATCGGTCCTTCAACACTCGGACTGAATCAGGTCCCTCTTGCCACCAGCGCCGCCACCCCAGGTTGCTCGAAATCGCCTGGTTCATGAACGTCGCAGTGAAGCTGATGCCGAACTTGGTCGGCATCTGGGCAATGCCCCGCCTGTTCAAAAGAACGGGGCTCAAGTTGGGACTGATGCTGCGGCAGTGGAGTTTCCCTTTTCAAAAGGATGACACAAAGGATCACCAAAAGCGTAAAAAGGCATCCCGTGTTTCACAACCCTCACACCAGCCAAGCTGCTTCCGCCAGCGATTGCTGCGATTGAACCTGGCAAACGCAAAGCCTGCTGTCCCCTCACACAAAGACTGATGCGGTCATTTGACCCAAACAACATGTTTTGCTCCGAAAGTAAAAATAGTGTGCCCCCCGCCATCTCCTCCCGTTACTCATTTTGCCGCCTTCAGACGGCCCTTGACGCTAAGCGGTGGCAGGCTGGCTGCTCGATCTCCTTCTCCCTCTGATGGAAGCTGCTGCTCTCAATGAGCTCGTGCCACATCCTGGGGTGGGCTGTTTCACGCAGGAACCCACAAAACCCGATGGACTCAACTGGGCTGACAGCTTGCCAATGTCGATCCCTGGTGGGTCAACAGAAGAGTCCCCAACAAGCAAGTGAAGGATGCCTTCTCAAATGGGACACCCCATATTGATTCATCAGGGGTTTATTAATCAGAAGTGAATATCGCCATGACAAACTGACAAACAGTCAACGACCCGACAGCTACACGCAAAACGTGGAATACACTGCGACGGCTCAGTGAACATAAGGCATACGCGAACCTAGGCCCAGCCTTTGTAAAGGACAACGTTCCATGATCTGCCCGAAGTGGGTCTTCTCCTTGGCGAACACACAGAGGATGGAAAGCTCTGAAAGCGTTTTTTTGCATGAGGGTCGATAACTCTGGCAAGTTTCAGCGGCTTGATGTCTCCATCTAAGGAAGCAAACCAGCTGCAATACATCATAAACGGGCCAATACACAATAAACATTCCACCGTCAGGCTCGCAGACTTCCCCACCAGCCGCAAATAATTTTCCCTGTAGCTGAGCCGCATCTTCGCTGATATGCAAACAGCAATTCCGTATGTTCGCAGTGGATTGGACGAATTTTGGTGCTTCCTTGCTGAACAGAAAAGCAATAAACCAATAAACCAATAAACAAATCAACCAATTTTGGTGCTTAGCCCAGGAATAAACCACGCTCACGTGCAGTTCT